GAGGGCGTTCGGGCTCTGCGGGGAACGGGGCGTTAGGTGGGACGCGGCGGAGATGCCGCAGGTGGAGGGGGAAGCGTGGGTCAGGGAGCCACGGCAAGTTATTGATGGCTTACGCTCGGTTAGACTTTCTGTCACCGCTAACGTTTTCATATATACGTATGTAATTTTGTTTTATCAAACGAAACAGGACGGAAAAAAAACCACAGCATGTTTGCAGTGTAAAGTTTTAAGTCAGGCTTAAGCACGACAACCCTTTTACACCCCTTCCCTGTAGACTTTTAGAATAGAGCGGATTTTCTTCCCCTTGCTGCCATCGTAGCTTGGCAGTCTTACAGAGCAGAGGCAGGCAGCACTGGATGAACCTGTTTGCGAGGACAATCTGATGGTAAAACAGTCCTGCTGCTACTGCCGCATCCAAGAGGGATACAGGGGAAAGAGCCGGCGTTGGCTTCTTGTAAGCGCACACGTGGGGAAAGTAGGTCATGATGAACCCAGAAGAAAAATTTTTAGGATCAAGCAAAGTGAGCAGGAAGAGAAAAGCCAAAAAAACCCACCCCGACAGTGGAGGAAGCCAAGGGACACTGTGGACGCTCAGAGCCAGGGTATTTAGGCAGGTATCTGAGCGATTGTTCACAACGAGGGTGTGCCAGGCTGTCCTGGCACGTGGACCCCAGCGTCTGGAAGATGGTGACAGCCACGACAGGGAGGATTTTTCTCTTCTGCCCGGCATGCTATAGTTCTAGTCTTGGGATCACCGAGTAAGAGTTGCAATCTCAAGCCATTGCAAACTACCACTCAAAATACGGCCTTGGGTTTTGCAACAGAAGTCTTTCAGCTTGTAGTACTGCCAACCCATTAATTTCTCAGAAGCCTTCAATGTTTCTTATCACTGTTTTGAAAATGTTAACAGGCTACTTCAAGTCGTCTAGTTGCTGGCTTTTGCTTTTATAAACTATTTATTGTAACAAACTTTCACATGACTATTACCTTGATAACAGCACAGTCTCTTGGCAATAGCACTCTCAACTCTTTTGAATTTTCAAGGCAAATCATGTATTACACACATTTTCAAAAGAATGTTGACCTCAGTGCTCAAGTGGTTCACATTCCAGATTGTCATAGTCTACATGTCAGGTTTCTCTTCAAAACCTTCTTTAAATAAGCAAGCAAATTTTATAGGAGCAAAAAATTAAGATAACAATAGGAATTCATCTTGAACCCTTATCTTTATCTAGATTGGCTTGCATGCTTTAAGTTTAATTGAATAAACAGATCCCTGAATCATACAGACCAAGGGAATGTGATGTGCGTTCCTCTCTTGTGAACCAAGCAGGGTGCAAGGAAGAGTCTCTTCAAGAGATGCTCATCTTCCACCCATTGTTCCTTCAATATATTTGCGTCCCAAGCACAGGAAAAAATGTCCCACTGCTGTTTGTCTTGTAGATTGTCAGTGTGTGCGAATTACCTTTAGAGGGCACCATTTTGTCGGGCACTTGTTAGCACTGAAGTTTTCCAGGAATCTCCAACCTTCCTTAGCAAACGTGAGAGATCAAAGCCTCTGCACCTATGATCAGAACAAGAAAAAAAAAAAAATCATCCTAGGACAATAGAATTTGCATTTATTCACTCGACAGAACTGGTGTTGAACGAAGTCTACTTATGAGAGGAAACGGGTTACCTAAAGTAAAAATAAAAAAAACTGAGGAGATGGCCCTCTATACTGCTGTTGACCAAGAAGCTAGATTTATCTACATTGGAAGATGCCTTCTGCAATACCTAATGTTAAACGGGTTGGTGTTAAGAATAATTAATACCAGCTATTCTTTACCTTGATCAGAGGAAAAAGGAAAATCTTCTGAGTTGGTACTAAAACAAATGCTCATCTTACATTGGGAAACATTACTTATCACTCTGTGTAATCTGTCATCAAGAAAAATTGACCTTACATTCTGTTGTGGTATTTTCCAAAATTATTCATTTAGCTTTAAGTTACTCGAGCATTGGGGCTTCCACCATTTTCTATGAAAGAGGAGCCTATTAACACACTTGCTCATCTGCAACTATCTCAGCATTCAGCAGCAGATAGTGCACTTAGCCTGAGCGAGCCCACCAACTCTGGAAAACAGGAGAGCATAGTTTGCATGGAGAAATTTAAGTAGTATGAACCCCCCTGCAGATGGTGTACACACCATAAACACCGTTGAGATTTCTGGAGCAGGTCCCACATGAATAATTTATTTCTAAGACATTATTACTAAAGTGTATGAACATTGTAGCAGAAATGACGCATACCTGAGCACCGAAAAGGCCCCGAAGGCAACAGAGGGCCGAATTTATCCCTCTGTCTACAGTCCAGCAGTAACAAGGCTGCTGAGTTGTACCATCCCAGCTCCAGAATTACGGTGACTCTCAGGACCACCGTATAACCACCTCGTAGTTCCTGTAATTTCTTCATGCCTTGCATTTCTTGTAGAGAATAATTACAAGTACGTACCACAAGTTTGATGTGATATTTATACTTATGTGTTTTACTTGTTCACAAACCAAATCCCTTACCATAACGCACAAACAAGTATTAAGAAATATGATTAAGAAATTGATGGATGCTATCGGTTTAATCTAGAATGCAGGGAGAGTGTTTACAGAGCTTAGTGTTTATGTACTGTATTCTTTACAATTCAGAACAAAGTTGTTCTTCCGTTTGTTTTTTTTTTTTGTGTTCCTGATGATACACATACTAACTTTCGTGATCTTAATTTTTGAACTTTTTTTTCCGCTGGAATGTTCTGCGTTTACTGAGCTGTGCTGCAAACGCTGGAAACTTCAGTTCAGGACCAAAGCACTTCTGTCTGCTTGAGGGCCCTTTCAGAGTAATTCTTTAAGCTCTACAGTATAATGGATAAACCAAAATGACAGACGTGAGGCCATGGGTGCATTCGCTGTGCCTTTCCCGGAGCGACTGAGCGGTTCGACTCTTACGTAAGTCTGCAGCATGCTGCCAGTCCCTTGTATCGGCAGCGTCTGAAGCGAGCACTTCGTGTGACCCTTCGCCATGCCGAATAGACCAATACTAATGTGAGACATAAAAATGTACACATTACGTAACCATTTCTCCTGACAGCCGCCCAGGCCAAGTATTTCCTACTGACTGCTGCAGTCACAGACATTTAATTTTAACTTGCCACTAAAATAAAACATTCTGTGGGTAGAAGGAAGCGTATGGGTGGGAACAGGGAACGGAGGTTATTCATGTCCCAACATGAATGTGCCAGAAAGATCAGCAATATTTCTTTGAGTTTGATTTACGTGGCCAACTTATTCTGACGGCATCTGTTAAAAAGTGCCCTGAGACCCATTTCATGCCTGCTTTAACTAATACAGCCAAAATGAAAATTGCGAACGTCATGAAATGCTTTTTAATGACGCCTTCACTGCCCAGTAAAACACTCGATTTTAAAAGTGTCCTAAAAACAGTAGTGTAATTTTAATTTACTTAGAAATGCACTGACCTGGCATTCTGACTTGGTCTGAAGGACAGAGCCAGAAAAGTAGAAAATGCAGCTTCAGCATTTAAAAACATGAGAGAAGCAGATGACTGTCAATGTTGCCACATAAGGCTTTATAGCTGAAACCCCTTACGTGCCGTACAGAAACTTAACGCTGTGCGGGATTGTAGCATGTTTCGATGTACTGAATTTGCCTGATAACGAATCTGAAGGTCCATCAGGTTTTACTCTGGCCTACCTGCAGCAGCGTGAGCTTTGTGGGGGTGCCAGGGCTCGCAGAATCCCCTTGGGGCAGGAGGGAGTCTCTGGGGGTTGTGCTGCCTGTCCTTTCCCCCCTCCGAAATCCAGCTGGCTTCTTAGTGACCTGAACAGAGGCAGATTTTTACGTGAAATTACACCCTGGGATTGTAATTTCTGCCATAAAGAGGTGGCACTTGGATGTGTCTAAGTCTACAGTGGAACGTGTGGTCCTTGTGTGATAGGAGTATTTTATTTTGAAGCATTCTGGATGCTGCTGTCTATCTTTGTTTCCCCTGGAACATATAAACTGACTGAGACAAACCCAAAAATTAAGAGCATTGTTCCTGGTTTGAGAATGGGAGGTAGGCATTCCCAGAGCACAGTCCCTACACCCCAAAAACACAGCCTGCAGCTGTCACCTGGTGTCGAATGAGCTGCCGGACATCTTTTGCGATAAACCGCGCGCCCTCGGTTTGCCCTTCACGGAACAGCCCTCTTGCCTGGGAAGAGCACACCGCGTGAGAATCGCTGCCAGCAAAGATGCGATTGTGCTTATTTGAAAACTTATGCTGAAATGATACTCTGACTGTGCTGTACATTGTATTTCCACAAACGGGAGGACGTGCAGTTTTTAACCGTGCTCACACAAGGTGAGGTGGTTCAGGGCAGGGGTCAGGTGAAGGACCTGCCAAGGGTTTGTAAGAAAATCTGGATTTTTCTTTACCTCAGTAGTTTGCAGCTGGCCTTATCTTCACTTCTGAGGGGTGTCCTTTCTTAGCTGACTGCTCGCCCTAGCCAACTGAGTTAAAAATTGCTTACAAATCAAACATTTGTGTTGAAACATTAAAGCCATTTTGACACATTTCCTTTAAAAAGGGTCCGACTGTGGAGTGAGGAGGGCAGAAATGCCAGTTAAGATCTCCCTATTCTTTTATGACTGTGGTGGTTATCTGTGGGTTGGGTACCTGAACCCCTTTGTCGTGCACCTGAAGAATGAGGACAGAGCGCCTAAGGATGCCCGGATGGCAAAAATAACGAAATTGTAATGCGTTTTGACACGCTAAAGTGAACCGCTCCGTTCCTGTACCCCGCAGGCTTGCTCCACAGGAGGCAGTTTGGGGTAGAAGAGGGATGAATACTCTCGGGCCGCACCATCGCTCAGTCGCTTTTCACGGTTCCCCTGTGACATTTGCTAGAAGACCACAGGGATTTCACTGCCGGGACTACCTGAAGGCTGTCAGAAGCGTTTACGTTATGCCGGTGCCCAAGAAGTATCGCCGGGCGACACCCGGGACGCTGCGGCCTGGAGCAGTGCGGGGGTTTACCCAAGGACAGTGGCGGGCGGGAGGCCGCGTCCCGCTCTCTGCTCCCTTTGGGTCACCCAAAGCTGAGGGGAAAACCCTTCCAGGCAGCCCTGTGGTGCCGTGGGGGGCGGGATGCCTGGTGTGGGGAAGGGGGTATTCGTAGGGACAAGGGGGATGCCCGTTTTGAGGGAAGACGAGGCTGTCTGAGGGGACAGGGGGATCTCCGAGGGGGGACAAGCCGTGCCCGGGGACAGGCGACAGCCGGCCGCCGTGAGGAGAACGCGGTCCGCCGAGGGGGGGGGAACGACTGCTGAGGGCGATGG